GTGGCCTCCTTCAAGGTAAGGGGGGGGCCGGGGCTGGCGGAGCCCGGGCTGAGGCTGCCGGGCCGGCTGGGATCGTTCCCCTCCTGTCTGTCCCCGCAGAACGCCCTGAAGAATGGAGAGTGCTCGGAGCCCACAGACAAGCAGGAGCAGCACCTGGGGATGAAAAAGAAAAACAATAAAAAGAACAGAAATAGGAAAAAGAGCAGTACAGGGCTTTCGAAACAGGTTGGGTCGCCTGTGGATGCTGGTGGGGTCCTACTGCCTGTTGTGCTGCTGCTTGTTGTGTGGTGCTGCTGCCTGTTGTACCTCAGAACTATCTTTTTCAGTGCCTTGGGATGGGGGGATGGCAGCCTTACAAACCTTGCTTATAGGTTTCAGTGATCAATTTCATTAAATACCAAGGAAAACCGTTTTGGGTGGGAATCATCTTTCTCATGGTTGGGACAACAAATGGTTTAGAAACAGCTTTTCCCTGATCATTGGTGCAGGTGCTGACTTGCCTCTCTTCTTTCTGTTGCAGTGGAAAGTTGGTGACAGCTGTAATGCTGTCTGGTCTGAGGATGGTAACACATACCTAGCAACTATTGCCTCCATCAATCAGAAGAGAGGCACATGTGTTGTCACTTACACAGGATATGGGAACCAGGAGGAGCAGAACCTGGCTGATCTCCTTCCTCCAGCCAGTGATGAAACAGTAAATGGGATGGGGCCTTCTGGGGTTGGGAGGAGCACTTTCTCATTCTTCTGAAGAGGAAAGTGGGAGAGTTGACTTTCTCATTCTTTCTGGTACCACTGTGGTGTTCAGACTGAGAATCAATACTTTGTGCCGTTGGGGATGGACACGAGCTGGTGGAGGGAAGGAAAGTGCCCCCTTCCTTCTTGAATTCAGCAAGGAGTAGAGGGAGGAGGCAACACGAAGTTCAGGAGTGAAAGATAACATAGGTAAAATGGTGAGCAGATGAGGTTTATAAGATCCTTCTTTAGTAGGACTGGGAGGGCTAGAGAGAGGGAAGGATGCAGATGGGGCTTTCCAAATTTTTTGACACTAGAATTGCTTGCTGTTCTGCTCAGTGTATCTCACAAAAAATGTCTTGGTCCTCCAGAATGAAAATGAGGCTCCGTATTCAACGGACGAAAGTGAAAAATCTTTCCAGTCACCTCGCAGCAAAAACAACTGCACAAAAGCAAGATTCTCCCCTCAAAACCTACCTTTCCACACACCACCACCAGTCCCAGGCCTAGAAAGGGTAAGCTCAGTCTTATCTGAAATAATTGATATGCCCTTCTTAAGCCTGATGTCTGCACTCTGAAACAAGAGGAGGATGTTTGTCATTGTCTAGAAAACAAACAGCAGCATTTGCAGAATGGATAAACAACTCTGCATGTTCCAGCCTGTCGATGGCCATTTCACAGTAACCTGGCAACAGCAAAGCCCCTCTGCAGAGCTGCTGCCTAGTGAGGAGAGCCCGTCTCCCTAGCTAACAACCTTTGCAGTTGCCCTGTAATTTAGAAGCAGGATGCTGCTCCATGGATGGTGGGAGTGCTTTTCATGATTTTCATGACAGCCCTTGAGATGTTTCAGACTGCACTTTTTCTAGTCAGATGATAGGTTTCACTACAGAGGGCACTGAGGGTGTCTTGGCACTGATGTCCACCTGTCACAGCAGCTCTCAGCTCTGGCTTCTCTGTTGAATCATGTGAGTTGGGGCACTGAGACCCCCTCAGTTTTCCTGTTGTGAAAGGTATCTAAATAACAGTGCAGCTGAATGCAGCATTATGTTTTCTAAATACTACTGTTTCTACAAGACTTCTGTGTAAGGTTTTATGGGTTTTTTTATCAGCAGATTTTTATGTGAGCTCATTGTGAAGACATTCACAAGCATAATGCAATGTAGGCAGCATGTGCCCCCAGCTGCACAGGAGCAGAGAAATTATCTGTTTGCCTGTGCACAGTATAAGTTTCTTCATGCAAGAGTGCCACTTCTACTTAGAAAAAACACGACTTTTTAATTTCTTGCAGTAGCTAGAACCCTGTTTCAGCACTGTTTGTCTCAGTGACACATGTGAAAGATTAACTTCCCCAGTCACAGAAGGCTCCTGAGAAACAGCTACTCTGTGTTGTTACTGCAGTTTCATTCAGTGCCTGGGATGTGTTGCCTTTAGTTCAGTTTCTTTGAGTGGCTTAAAGTAATTATCTTATATAAAATCTAATGCCTGAAACTTCTTTCTAATTTGCACTTTTCAACTTTGTCAATGTAGCCTGGACCAAAATTCAGGGCACCTCCAATGTTCTCATCTTGCTTTCCCCCACCCTTCCCAGCAGGACCACCGGTAAGTGTTGGGAGGATGAGGAGGGAAGTGTCAGAGATGAGTATTGGTGATCTCACAGTTTCTAACTAAATGTCCTCATTCCCTATGTTTTTGGAACACATTCTGTGGTAGAGTCTGCATTTTCTGGGTATTTGATAACACATTAGGTTATAAATATTACAAGAATATAATGTACAGGGTCTGATATGTAGTTATTTTTGTCTCACGGAGCTATTTATAAGAACATCAAGAGAAAATGGTTTGAAGAAACTACACTTTATATTTGATTAATAGCAATTCACTGATGCAGATAAACACTTTACTCAAAACTTTTTGTGTACAGTCAAGCTACAGGAATGTGGTTTCTTCCAAAGTTTGGAAATGGAGTTTTCAGAAAATACCATCTTATCTGACTCCTTTTCAGAGAAAGCATTGAGGATATGTTCCTATTTTTCAGTTTTGTATTTTGATCTTTTAGAATTGGTTGCTATGTAACCTGGCATATACCCCACTGAAACACAGATGTTTTATTTGTGATTTCTCAGTTGATTCCTCCTCCACCACCTATGAGACCAGACTCTCCGGAGGACGACGAAGCGCTGGGGAGCATGTTGATAGCCTGGTACCTGAGTGGTTACCACACTGGGTATTACCTGGTACGTGCCACTTCTGCTTTGAAATGTCTTTCTAATCTTGCTTTTGTGTTGCTACTGCTGTTTCCAGCAAGAAGTTAGATGGGGAGGGCTGCTTTTCAGATCTTGTTTTCATTTATAAACACTAAATTTAAGGGTGTTTTAGGTTATATTGTTGTTCTTGTCCATGAGCAGGAGTTGCATAAGCCAGTGCATATGTATAGTCAGTGTTGGTTCTTTGTTCCACTGGAGGAGTCCCAGTAGGTGCTTTTGTAGCCAATGTTTTATAGCCATGCTGAAACAACCAGTTCTGTCTTAGAGAGGTGGAGTGAAACTGAATATGTTGTTTATTCAGAAGTCTTCTATGTTTTGAGTGTGAGCAGTAGTACAACATTTAGGATCAGACTGTTTTCATGTTTGCAGACTATTCAATGTAATTGTTTCAGGTGATGGTGAAGGTCCAGCAGGAGCTGTAATCATAGTTGTGAAAAGTCTTTGGCATTGATTTCTGTTTTCCTTTGCACACTTTTGAAAAATGAAAATTAAATACAGAATGAAACCTTCTGCATTGGGGAAGTTGGAAAGGGGAGGCTTGGTGCCATTGGGGTATCTTCAAAAGACTATTTTTGGAATTTCCTGCTTCAGATTGTATATAGTTTTGGATTGCTCTAACGTACTTTGATTGAAGAAGCAACACATATTTGAAATGAGTCTGTAGCACCACTGATTATAAAGAAAACCTCTAGTTCGGCTTTTGTGCTGTTTGAACTGCCCATTCTCATTTCTCAGAAGAGTTAAAAGCCATTCTTGATTTGTAAAGGACTAAAAGAAATTGCCAAAAAAAATGCTTTTGTTCTGTGACTTAGAGCTTTTATTTCCACGTTAGTAAAAACAAAATTTCACTAAATTGTCTCCTACAGGGTTTAAAACAAAGACGAATGGAAGCAGCACTGGAGAGAGAAACACACACAAAATAATTTTATATCTGTCATTGTTTTGACGGTTTGTAAGTATCATAATTTTGTGCTAAATGATGATACAGTATTGTGTTTGAAACACAATGTGTTCACTTCACAGGTTCTCAACAGGTTTTGAATTCTGTGCAAAAACTGTGAGCTTCAGGACTTCCATCTGCTCTCATGGCTCTCTACAAAGACTACTTCTACCAGTTTTAATCCCTTCTTTGCTTAACAGCCATGGAATAGTATTTTCTTGGCTAGAATGAAGGGAAGTATTTCCTTGCTCTGATGAAAGGTTTTACTACAGCACTTCCCTAACAGTGCAGCTCACTTGAATTATTAAGGGCGACCTAATTTTTTGTATGGGCTGTTTTGTGAAATGTAGCTTTTGCATCTGTGTGCACATCTTCAGAAGCAACTATTATACAGATAGAGTGGCAGGATGTGTAGCCAAACTTTGTTTTCAGGACAAGATCAACATTTCAGTTTTGTATTGTTGAGCAATCCCACTTCTGTGCCCACCCTTCTATTTTAAACCCTTTGTTTAGAATTCTCAGTTATGTTGTCCTGTCCTTTTAGCACAAAACTTTTATCTTGGGAACTTTTTTTTCTGATTTTCTCTGACAACATGTAATTCCTGTGTGGTTGAATAATTCTTGTTTGTTTAAAACCAAAAAGCTCTTGTATACTAATTCCTGCTTCTTTTTTAAAGCCAGATGCAAGTCTTTCCCACTGAGAGATCCGTGTCACTTACACACTGATGGTTGATGGTGAAGATCAGAATTTCGTCAAGACAATTAATCTTAGTATTTTCTTAACATTGAGCTGCCCCTGGTAGCAGTAAACAATTAACTTGCCTAATTGTATGTGCATTGAAACCAGCTATTTTTTGAAGACCTCTAGCCAAATGTATTTAGAAAGCCCTGCAGCAGGAAAGTGTTTTTTACTCCCTGAAACAGCTTTAGGTCTTTTTACCACTTTATAGAGTTAACCCCATGTAGCAGATTTCATGTCTCTCTCATTTGAACATCTCTTGTGTTCCTCAGACTTTATCTGAATGACACGACCAGAACCAGCGATCGCTGTACAGTAAAATAGACAACATATTAATTGTACAATTCAAATACAGTCCCTTTGGAGGCACCTAAGGCATCAGTGTATGATGATGCAGTGGCCACTGGTGGCAACAGCCTGGAAAACCTGGATGGTGTGCCATCCTATTGAGATATCATGGGTCTGATTGATTAGAGTCCTAAGCATGACAGCTCAATTCAGAAAGTCTCATTTTTATTTTTGTTTCAAATGTTTGTTAATAAAGTTCTACTTTGCAAACTGACTTTTTAGGCACGTGTGTTGTGGTGAGCGAGAGTCAGACACAATACTCATAGAGTTATGGTGAATGCT